CCAATTAATAGATAGCTAACCATATAGTAATGTCGTCCAACACATGATAGGGGATAGAATGCAGTGTGTGGAGTTTCCCCAACTTTACTCAGAAGCTCAGACTCAAGGTCTGTTTGGGAGTGTTTTTTTTTTTTTTTTTCCAATGGTTTTGGATGGCACCGGGGTTGCAAAAACCGGTGCTTGCTAGTTTTTTAGGGTACTAAATCACCCAAAATCGGTGTAGTGTAATTTTGAGCGGTTTTTTCAACCCACCAAATTGGTGGATTTTGGCTGTTTTTCTTGTTCTTTTCTAATTTTACCATTTATAAAATAATTATTTTCAACCAACCTATTTTGTTCAAAACTAAATTGTAAATTAAAATATATTAACTAAAATTTTAATTAAATATTTAAATTTATTTAATTTTTTAGATTAAATATTAATTTATATGTAAAACAAATTATCTACAAGTAAAATATCACTTATGAGTAAAAAAATTTCATATAAAAGGAAATTTTACTAAAGGACATATACGTAATTTTATTCTTTTAAAAAAATTTCAGAACCGGTGAATAATAAACTCCCAAGTATATGTTGAACAGTTTTAAAAATCACTACTAAAACCACTCAAAACCGATCTGCTCATAAACTCTCAAAACCAATACTTTAAATAACGCTTGTAACCGGTACGGCGAAACTCCCAAGCAGGCCTTTAGTGAAAGCAAACTCAGATATTGGGGAAGACAAATACATTGAGTTTGCTGCCCCAGTATGTCTAAAAAGTAAAGTTCCTGCTGTATTAGAAAAGGAGGATTCCAAAGTTGGGTTTATTGGTCTGGGAGAGCCTCAATGGCGTAGAAAAGAAGCAATGAATTAGTCCAAAATTAATGATAGTTATATGATATCAAGCTGGTAAATAGAAGGGATACTGCACCAATGAAGATGAGATTACAGGATCAGAGAGGACGAGACAATTGATGTTGAATGCCTTGGGATGCTCACGATAAAGGTTCAGTAGTTAAGGTCCCCAGGTGATGATTAAGAAGGGAAGGCAAGCAATAGGCAGAATTAACAATCATTGAAGTAAGCACTGTCATTTCAATAAATGATTTCTAAATAGTGTTCTTTTACTCTTCATTGGTTGTTCTCTATTTCTAATGATAGATCTCTTTCTCATAAGAAGTCCTTTTTGAAAATGTTGTGGAGATGGAGACCATTAGCTAAGAAGCAGAGAAACCAAGAGATGATTTTCAAGGAGAACCAAACATTGTGGAATTTTCAAAGATGTCAAGGTGACAGTTCTCAATGTTTCGATGATGTGAATTGGGGAGCCAGGCTGAAAATTCATTAGGGGCCTATTATGAAGAAGGATGTCTGACCTCTCATTCATAAATTTTGACTTTGGTAGAGGTTTTCCATGAGATGAGCTATTTGCAATTTACACCGTGTAAAGGTTGGACCCTCTTTTGGTTCTTTTACCTATAATAATGAAATGAAAATTCTCCCGTATAAATAATCAAAACTATTTAAAGCAACGAAGAAATTGACCTTGAGAATAATCACATCCCACATCCTAACTACAGGCCACAATTTACAAACATCAGCAAGGAAAAAAATGATGTTTCTCGTCAAGCTACACAATACACTGCTAAAAATATAGAAAGGGAAAGTGACTCCATCTCTTATAAATTCCAATTCATAAACAGACAACTCCTTTCAAAATGACCATCAGGTCAATCCCCTTTATCATGCGTTGAAGTTCATAAATTAGACATCAGAAAAAGTTAAAGATGTTAAAATACGTCTTCTGGCTTTATATTCCTGAAAACTATGCTTAAGAGTAAAGACTACTACTTCGACATGAAAGTGAGACCTTCCAATTCCACCCAGACTACCATCAATATCTATTCTGTTATTTGAAAAGAAAATACATATAATATAGCAAGTGCACCAAATCTTTCTATCTGTTGCTTCACTGCAAATAAAATTATTTGACCCAGACAAAACTGGATGGATGAACATAATATGGGGTAACTGCCATCATGAAAATTCTCTCCTATGATTAACTATTAATCCAACATGCATAATTCATAACCTAGATATAATGAAATGAAAAAATTCCTTGACACCCCTCAAACTACAACCTCAGACAGCGGAAATTTCGAGCAGTCTCAGAATGATGAATATCATTCCTTGATAACTCCAATGCTTACTCTTTAATCCCAATTGCAGTTTCCACAGTATTGTCCATGGTATCCTTTTCATTGGCTTCAAGACCAAACCTCACACGAAAGATATTAAATTGCTCAAATTGCACTCTTTATGGCTCATTAAGAGAACGTCAATCTCTACTTCAACTCAAAATTTGAACACAAACACAACACAGAATCACGATAATGAATTAAAAGTGGAAATCATCAGAACCAGACATATAACTGAAAAGTGAGCGCATATCAAATTTACGTACCATCAAATTCTTCTTCATCTGATAAAGGAAAATCCAACCAGGTCTCAGGATGATGAGCAATATTCCTCGCAAAGGCCAATACTTCCTCCGTTATCCCCACCGCGTCCTCTAGCATATAATAATCTTCTGCTTGCAATAAATTCGAATGATCCCCAAACTGCCCAGGCTCGCCTTCACCACATTCCCCCAATTCTCCCTCCTCCTCCTCCTCCTCCCCCTCCTCCTCCTCATCCCCATACTCCAATCCTTCCTTCTCCAATTTCGATTCAGAGCACAACAACCCCAATTTCTGCCCCGGAAGCGGAGGTGGCGGCGGTGGTGTAGGAGGAGGAGCCAGAAATGATGCCACACCCCGTAATTGACGCGTAAATTGTTCTTTAAATTCTGATAGATCTTCTTTCAGCCCATGTAGATTATTCCGATTATCACCATCATTGTCATCGTCATTAGCATATAACGATCGATCTTCCACATGCCATTCTCCTTCGTCTTTGGAAATTATGTTTTCCGGGTATTGATCTCCTGGTCTGCCGTCTTCAAGGTGGGTCAGTCGTGCGCTGTCATTTTGAGCAACCAAATCGTCATCCTCAACAAGATGGAGACTGTTGGCGATTGAGCGAGCCAACCAGGACATTATTGCTTACGCTTGAATTCAGGTATTATAAAACTGGTGAAGAACAGAAGAGAGAATTTTGAAAAGATGTGGTAATTGGGAGTTGTGATTACTTGTTTATGTGATTTTGTCGTCTCTAGGCTTTTTCGAAAACGAATTTTGTTCAAGGACTTCTTGATCCTTGAAAGGTTGAAACTTGAATTGAAAATGTGTCTTCGGTGCTTAATGGAGCGTTACCAATAAAATGTCCTTAAAAGGCCTACTCGACCTCTCTATTCCCATAAAATGTCCTAAAAAAGCCTACTTGATCAACTCAACCTCCCCACAATTCAATTAACCCCCTTTTGATTTCGACTAATATTAAATTTTAGTAAATTTTGATAAAATTTGATGTAACGTGTAATTGAAAAGTCAATAAATATTACGAATTTCAAGAAATATGCTGTAGAAAATAAATTTAAGGGAAAGTGAATTTTAAGAAATGGAGGCCAATGACTAACAATTCAAAAGTACGCAAAAAAATCTATTAATTTCAAACACACTTTTAAATATTTTTTTATTCTCAAAATACTCTTTATTATTATTATTATTATTATTATTATTATTAACTTTTTACAATATATTTAGTAACACAATGTTACAATGTGTGACATCATATTACACACATTTCACCACTTGTTTTCATCGCTACCATTGCCTCCGTGTGTAACACAATGTGTTATACATGTTTTGTCATCTATTCCCATCGTCATGATGGTAGTTGCAACCACCACACTTGTAATATTTATTTTTACACCACCACTATCACCATTGTTCTTAACATTTATTATTACCACTTTAGGGTGTGTTTGATGTATATTATTGAAGAAAAAATGTATTTTAAATAGTGATATGATGTGAAATATGTGATTAAAAGTAAGGAAAAATTATTGATGTGATGAAAAATATTATTTTATTGAAGAATGTGTGGTTGAAAATGAGTTTTGAAAAAATGTATTATGAAAGAATGTGTACCAAACAGGGACTTAATATTAAATGTTATACTGAAATGTTAGTCACCAAACCACGACCACCACCACTAAATCATAACACACAATCTTACAACCCACTACCATTATTATAAAAACTAGACCAGTGTTACTACAAATTCCTGACACCACCACCATCCCTAAACCTTAGCACCACCACAATAGACGCTACACACCAAAATCACCATAAAAAACCACGCACCAAGAAAATCTACCTTCCATCACCAATCCGTGTTCCAGGAAAAGCAGTTTTTGTGGAATAAAAAACGAATTACAATAAATTTGAAATTGTGAAAGTAATTAGAGGCATAATTTTCCCTTATATAATTTGACTCGAATAAGTTGATGCCAAGCTCGACTGTATTTTTATTAGTTAACTTAATCCGTAGTCTTTATCTCAAGTAGATTAGTAAACTACCAATTCACCTTATCTTGGTTGATTAAGGATTTTTCTTTTCACAACTAAGGTCAATGGTTCAAAGCAGTGGTGACAAGCTCGGCTCGGCCCATTACCCAAAGATGCTCATCGGTCAACTTGGTCCTTGAGTTCATGGCTCGTGCGCACGAGCTCAACATTTTTGTGTGTGTGTTTTTAACCTTTCTACCATAATAATTATTCGGAGTTAAAATTATACACGTATAACTTGTTATGCGTACAATACTTTTAAAAATCATGTATCCGAAAAATAAAAAATCCATTTCGACATTTCGTCAAGTTCTTGAAAGTAGCGTTAATGAAGTGTCTGGCAAACACATGAACCAAACACACTTCATATGTTTGTCAGTACATTTCATTAACGTACATGAGATTTGAGAAAATGAATTCTTCGTTTTTGGAGGCTTGCTTTTATTGATGCAACAATCTTTATTTTCTTTAAATTGAAATATTAAACGTATAGAATTTATATGAGGTTTGATTTGAATAATTGAATTGTATGAATATCAAATGCATAAAGTTGTAGAAGTAAAATGTAGAAATAATAAATTGAATTGAAATTTAAAATTAGATATAAAATGTTTTTTAAAAAATTATTTTGAAAACCCTCATCCTTTTATTTGGAATTGGGATTGGCCACTTATTTTCGAGTAGGCGGAGTTAAAATAATACCCAAACAATTAATTATGTGTACAATTTTTTTTTTTTTTTGAAAGGAAGCTTATCTTTGTTTCGGAGGCTTGAATTTTGTTTTTTTAAAAAAATAAGCAATCTTTGTTTTCAATAAAGATGTAGTGATTGAGTCAAAAAATTTAGTTCTGTAAGTCTTTCTCTTACAAGGAGAAGGAAACTGGTGAACCTATACGTCGTAAGAAAAAGACTCACAAAACAAAAAATCTTGACTCAATCAAGATGTTTGGCAATTGAAATTTGAAGAGTTGAAATTTTTTTTATTAATTTTTAATTGATTGCATGGAGAATGAAACAAGTGAACCTATACCTCGTAAGAAGAAGACTCATAGAACAAAAAATCTTGACTCAATCAAGATGACTGGTAATTTAATTTTGAAACTTTTTTATTAATTTTTTTGAAAATCCTTCTTTTATTTGGATTTGGGACTAACTACTTAATTTTCGAATATGTGGAGTTAAAATTATATACGACCAACTTGTTACGTGTACAATTTTTTTAAAATCAAAATATTATTAAGAAAATAAAAAAATTTGATTATATGACGAAATTAAATATAATTTACTCGATTACAAGCAATTTCCTCATACAGATGTATTTGAAAATGTGTGTCTTACTAATCCTTTAAGCACATCTATGCTTCAAAAATATTTTCTTTGCGTCGGCTCCTAACCTTGAACGGAGTCCTCTCACTTGCACTAAAAAGGGCCTCCAAAGCTATAGTGCTAAGAAGAGGTATTAATAGATATTTTGCAATGGTAGAAACGATGGGGTATTTTCGTTCGTTCTTCCGCCAAAAATCAAGTAAATCAAATTGTATAGCTTCAACGGATTCTACGCTCCTAAATGTTTGATTATTAAAATATTTAAATAATTCAGTAGGAATTCCAATAGGACTTGCACCCGAAGTCGGATTAATCCCTAATACCTTAAAATAAGGACAAATTCTATTTCATCGTCTTGAAGAATAGCAAAAGTGGTGGGTACAGTGGGTGTTTGACCAATGTTTGCACCCAAGTGTTGTGATTACGTTTTGTACACTGAAATTAACTCATTCGAATAAGTGATAGGTAAGTCAAAATTTAAATAGATTGTTATTTTATTAATAATATAATTAGTGCCTCTTAAATTGTACATGCGTCCATTACACTTGCCAAAGGAAACATTGGCAACAAGTCTTCCCAATATTTTCTAAACTGTAATCTCATAGAAATCAATATATTAGGAAATTCGGGATATTTTTTATATTTTTGAAAACATTTTGCAATGATGTAAAGACGCTCAAAAACACTTGAACTAGTGGAATAGTATACCCCAGATACTTATGGAATTATAAAAACTTGTCAAAAATTTTTTGACTTTAAAGGCTAGTTCCCAGTAAGAATCAATCAAAATAGAATCATCAACACTTCTTACATGCATATAGTTTTATGATTAAATATTCTCAACCTTCATATGATTTTAATAATAAGTTAGTGAAGTTTTATCTATGTCGTACATTAGTTATAAATTTTTTGGGATCTTGGTCAAATTGTGCACAAAGTTCTTCAAATTGTATAATTAAATTAAAATATGATAAACACAATGAATATGAAACAAAAAATCACCAAAAGATAATCTACAAATTTTATCTACAATAGACTTGTTAACACTAATATTGTCAAATATAAAAGAACAAATTTTACTCTTACATTTATATTCCCTAATATTTTGCATTACAAAATTAAAAATATTATTAACATTATGAGAAAAGTCATTTATGTTAAAAGAAATAATTGTTTTATGCATTACCCAAAGTGGTTTATGTAGTGTGCAATTGCTGCTATATAACATTTTTTATGTATACCTTCTCATAAATTTGAAGTGAACAAATAACACCATCATATCTATTTAACTCACTAATCAAATGGTTCTTAGATCTAAGGAAATAATCAACGGTATCACTACGAAGAGTGTTTCTACTTATCCCTTTGTACCTTGGTTGAATATATTCCTTCACTAATGTTATGAAATGGTTGCTGTCCACTATGCTCAACGGCAACAAATTTCACCATTCTATCACGAATTCTCTTCTTCAAGTTCATCAATATGCTTAGTGTTGAAAAATCATTATCGTAAGGAGTACCAAAGGTTAGCTGTGTTTGAGATTGGCCAATAAGCCAATATTTGGCCGTACAATTGGCATAGTGACAATTGAAGTGGGTAGTACCGATACCCTTTTGCCATGCTAATCGTGTTTGACAGGATTTACACATTGCGTTACACTCTTGGATTCTGTCTGTACAATCGGTTGTAATCAATTTAAAATGTTCCCAACACCTTATAGTTTTTTTTTTCTCTCTTTTGCTTCCCTCTTGCATCGAGAATCAGTAGTTTGGCTTCACTGGCATCTTCATTGATGTCATCCAAATCAATTGGATTACTACTTTCATGTGCATTGTCAACACCCATTCCCAGCAAATCATCGGGGATGGGGACGTCGTTGAGATCATTAAACTGATTGAAAAATTGAGATTGTGGCATCAAATGTGATTAGCCACCGAACAAGCCCTCAATGAAATCATGAAGATCCATGCATATTATGTAATAGAATATAGATTGTAGTGTAAAGAATAAAGATGAAATGTATAAATTGGATAATGCATAGTATAGAGAATGAATTGAGAGAATGTATATAACAGAATTTTAAATGTATAAAAATTGTAAAATGAATGTATGTGTGTGTGTGTGTGTGTATTATAATTGTAGAGATTAGAATAATTGTATAATGAAAGAATTATTGTAGGGAGAGTAGAGATATTGTTGAATTTGTTGTGAGAAAAAAATGGTGAAGTTTTGAGGTATTTATTGAAGAAAAAAATAAAAA